GGTGATCCCTCCATCAGCTGCTCCCTGCTCCTAACCCCTTGGTTTCCTTCTCTTTCAGATGGGCTTCGCAGGAATCGCTGTCGGAGCTGCTATGGTTTGTACATTTGCATTCTTCCTCTTCTGGTTTTAAAAATTTAAACTATTTTTAGATAAAAACACGCTAATACATTTTAACGTATTTAACAGGCAGGGTTGAGACCAGTGTGTGAATTCATGACGTTCAACTTCTCCATGCAAGCCATTGACCAGGTCATAAACTCTGCTGCCAAGACCTGTTACATGTCTGCTGGATCCATCGGTGTTCCCATCGTGTTCCGGGGCCCCAATGGAGCGTCGGCCGGAGTGGCCGCCCAGCATTCCCAGTGCTTTGCAGCCTGGTACGGGCACTGCCCTGGGCTCAAGGTCGTCAGTCCGTGGAGTGCAGAGGATGCCAAGGGTTTGCTGAAAGCATCGATCCGGGACGACAATCCAGGTGAGCACGGGCAGGTCATGGCAATACCCAGCGCTCAATCCTAAGGAATGGCTGTTTTCCCCTCCTGCCCCATTTAAAAGATACCACAAAAAAATTGTTAAACCGTAAAGCACTCAGATTTTCTTTACTGCAGTAGGGTACTTATAGAGACAGAAGGGTTTACTCTTTCCCTAACAGTCACCTGCCTTGCTAACAGCAGACTGATTTTGTGCTGTTGCCAGGAAACCTGGAAGCATTTATAAATCTATCATAAAGGGATTAAAAAGGATGAAGTTAGGAGGCCTTCCTGCATATACAGTGCTTCAATATAACTCATTTTTACAGATCATGAAATTCAAATGATAAATTCAGAATGTCACTAATTGAAAGCAGGGCCACCTTTGTCTTTATTTTTCACAAACGGGAATGAAAAATGGGAGACCTTTCAAAAAGTGGTGATTGTAACATCGTGTACGGAAAGTAAAATACCTGATCTCATTTCAGACTAGTCGTAGACAGCTTTTTAAATGCTTCAGCATTGAAGTAAAGACTCTGATTTACTTCTTTTTTTATTTAATTGCTTCTGCAAACATGCTCCTCACTCCCTTGTTGCCTGGATGGGTTTAGTGTATTGAGCTGCTGCAGGACTGCTAATGGTGAGTGCAGCCCTGTGCCTGCAGACATACACGTTAATCCAAGTATGTTTTCTTCTAGTTGTGATGCTGGAAAATGAATTACTATATGGTGTTCCCTTTGAAATGTCTGAACAGGCACAGTCAAAGGAATTTGTTATTCCAATTGGAAAAGCTAAGGTAGAAAGGCAAGGTAAGCTGAGAATATGTTTGTTTCCTTATTAACTGACCTGGTTGGGGACTTTTTTTAATCTCAGCTATTCAGGGTACTGCTGTCACAGGGCACAGAAAAGTATTTCAAATGTTAAGTGTTCAAATGTTCTTTTATCCAGTAGTATGATGTCATGTTCTGTTACCCTATTAGGGAAACATCACCTGATAATCCAGATCTCGACTAAAAAAATACCCTTCTAAAGGATTTGTTCCATAGTGTAGAGATGAAGTAGGTGATGGCTGAAACACTTCTTTCCTCACCTAAGTATATAATTTTTGTCAAAAATGCAAAAAGAGGTCATTGTAGCGTTTAACCCCATTTGTTCATGATTTACCACTGAATTATATGAAAGTTTGAAAAGGATAACTTGGTAATTATATTAAATACCTCTTCAGTTCCCTGAATTCAAGGGTGAAGTTTGTATTTTGGCATAGGTCTTCCTCTTTTCCTGCTATGTCTGGGCTCAGCTTTTCAAACAAACATAAGGAACTTAAATTTACAAGTGAATCTAAATGTTAGCCTGAAAGGAGCCTGAGGTATAGAAAAAAAGCTTTAAATCTTAAGGAGTTTTTTTTCTCTTTTAACACTTGTTTTTCTTCTAGGAACTCATGTTACATTAGTGTCACACTCAAGACCTGTTGGCCATTGTCTGGAAGCAGCTACTGTACTTGCTAAAGAAGGTGTAGAGTGTGAGGTGAGTGGGGTTTCTGTTGCCTTTCTTTTTCCCTGAAAGGGGGAAAGAAAGCAGAGTGTCTTCTCACGCAGGCTCTGCTCACTTCGGTGTATTAACTACAAGCTGCTTATATTTTTAAGTCCCTTTAACAGCACGTGCCTTTCATGTTTCTGAGTTAGAAATTCTGTTAAGACCTGTCTTTAAAGTCCGAACAGATGAAAGTGCTGAGGGGCCCTGTACCCAAACGGTGGTGACTGACAGGCTCAAGTCACAGCAAAGTTCTCATTATCCCTTTTCCCCCCAGGTTATAAACCTGAGAACCATTCGACCAATGGATATCGAAACAGTGGAAGCCAGTGTGGTAAAGACAAACCATCTTGTCACTGTAGAAGGAGGTTGGCCCCAGTTTGGAGTAGGAGCGGAAATCTGTGCCAGGATCATGGAAGGTACCAAGTTTTGCAGTGCATGTCTCAATCTCGTTCCCTACTCTAAATCCTGAAGACTTCTTGATAAAGCCTGGCAAAGGCAGAGTTAGGGGTTATAGCTGAGGAGCTGGAGCTTGGCTGTCTTGCTCTAGAGATTTTTACAGGGTGGGTACAAAAACCACAGTGCGTGAAGATAAACAAGCAGGAACAGCACTCTCTGGAATATTAGAGCTATAGGAACAAAACTGTTTAAATAGAACAAGATACAGAAATCAAGAGAAAACCACAGTACATGGCAACCTGACACTGTCTTCTGTTTCAGGACCTGCCTTTAACTACTTGGATGCTCCAGCTGTGCGTGTTACCGGCGCCGATGTCCCTATGCCTTACGCAAAGATCTTAGAGGATAACTGCATACCTCAAGTGAAGGATATAGTATTTGCAGTGAAGAAAGCTTTGAATATATAAGTTGTAAATACATGTTTTAAAGTACCTGCTTTACAAAGCATTATTGGTGTTGGGCAAGTTGTATCCATAATTTATGTTCTATAAGCTTTGTGAACTTTTGTACAGTGGGAAAGTATAGTGACCTCCCAGAATATTTATATATGGGGTTACGCTCCCTAAGCCACACTTCATATATGCAACAATGTGGTAATGCTTGTGTTCAGCAGTACAGTTGGGCTAGTGCTACTGTTTGTGGAGAAATCCCGTTCTAAATTCAGAGTGAGGAAAAAATCCTCCATTTTTGCTTGGCTTTAAGTACCAGAGGAACTGTGTCAAATCCGCTGGAGCGGTGGTTTAGTGCACAATTGCAGAGAGCAAGAGTAGGCCCCCAGTGCTGTACAGCTGCATGGTCACAAGGCCTATTAGAAGGGAATGACTAGACTGGATGGGTGAAGCCCTGCCTGCCAGTGCAGCTCTGCACAGAGGCTGCAGCAGCCCACAGTGTGGGTTAAGAGGTGGTGACCCTGTTTGGTTTAAAGAGGGCTCCACACATGCAGAAAGACTTCTGCACAAGAGCTTAAATAAAGATCCTGACCCTCTTCAGTAGGTGATGGGAAACACTACCTAACTTTTCTTTACTCCCTGTCACATAGAGTGATTAAAAAAATGCATGTCCAGATGCTTGGCTTTTATGGCTCAGCTCCATGTGGGTGTCTGTAACTCCTTGCCTGGGCTGACAACAGCATGTTCCCACTGTAGGTCTTGCAGAGCAAAATGAGTTCCTTTATTCAGCTGCACTGAGCCCGAGTCTGAAGCAGCAGTTGTGCAGATTGTGTGTGAAGAGCTGGGGAGCAGTCGAGGCAGACTTTTGGCAGAACACCACATCCCAGGGTTTGGATGAGGGTTAGTCCTGCCAGGCTTCCCTCAGCAGCTTTTGGTACAGAGGGAAAGCTGCCCTGAGGGGCCTGTGCCGCAGGGCCTGCTCTGCACCCCGGGTGCAGTGGCTCCCCAGTGAACAGGTGGAGAGGACATACCTCTGTAAACAGCCAGAAGAGCTCAGGTCCTGCTTCAGGGAAGGGCCAGGAATACCTTTCAGGGTATTCCTTTTAGCAGAGGTGCTGTTAGGTTCTTAGGAAGTGTGGCTTGCAGGTGTCAATCCCAGCTGAACATACCCACCACACTGCTGAAGGAATTCCATTAACATTTTAATAAAAATGACTGAATATCACAGGTTACATGAAACTTTGTACAGACATTCTCTGCATAGTAACAAACACTGATGTACTTGAATTTTAAAAAATGGATTATCTATAATCCTTTAAAGTGCAATTTGTTTTAAGGTTTTAAATCAAAAAGGATCTTTCAATAAAGTTTAAACTGTAGAATTAACTTGAAGTAACTTTGCATTTAACTAAATCAAGAATAACATCCCAGTGCCCTATTAACTCCCATTTCAACTGTTTCCTCATTTAAAAACACTTTCCCTTGGAGTGGCAGGTAGGATGTCCATTTAAACAAGCTTAATGAGACAGCATTTTGACTCCACCAGCAAATATGGTGGGAATAAGATTTAATTCTCCAGTTCCCTCACCTGTGCAGTATGCTTTAAGGGTTGGATTATCTAAAACAAAACTTGTTGATTCAATGCAGCAAGAATTACAATGAGTTACAAGTGCATGGAAAGAGTTGAAAAACTGAGCAGACTAAAACTACATCCCTGTAATTTGAAAAAAAGGGGTGGAATAGAGCTAGTTAAAAATGCATTAATTTGCCATCATCATGGTCATTCCTATTTTCAGATTTTTATTCAGCTATATAGAAGCTGCTGTACCCCTGCAATTGTAGCCAGAGAACACAATTCTTGAAACCCAGTAAAGAATGGAGTACTTATCACAGCATGGGGAGGCAATTCGGGCAGGGCAGTGCTGCTGCTCGAGGAAAGGTGAAATCAGGCAGAACGGAGCTCCAACGTCATCAGTGCTGGTGGGTCAGTTGCTGGTCAGGAGGGTCAGCACAGGAGGGGGAGAGGGAATTCAATCCTGGAGTGACCAGTGGCCTCAGCTGATCCTGGGAGCACTGTAGTCGCACGTCTGTGTTTTCTTCAGAGTTCCTTTCTGAAAGTTTTGGATGGAGCTGAGCAAGGCTCCCCGGCTCGCACTGACGGGCTGCGGCGTTGGCACCTCTGTACTCAGGGGAGGAGCTGCTGGTGGCAGGGGTGGCGGAGGCGGTGCTGGGGGGATGGACGATGCTCCTGTTGAGCCAGGGAGAGAAGATATAGTTTGATTATGCCAGGGGTGTCCTGCCACAGAGGACTGTGGCTGCTTGGCTGGACATGGTCAGTCCTGCACTACTCACATCATCCCTTGAATGCCAGTGGAATGTGAAGAACAGAACAGATGGGAAATGCCCAAGTGATCAAATCCCTCTATCTGCAGGTGAGTCGTGTCATCTGAGACACCTCTGAAATGAAGCCTGAAGGGCCTCAGTACTCAGGGATGCAAAACATGACTCAAATGTGATCTTCTGAAGGAAATGGAGATCACTTAATGGGATTTCCCAGCTCTTGTTTTTGCCTAGTAAAGCAGTTTGCTTTCTGGGACATGAACAGTAACAAAGACTGGAAGCAAATTTTACTACCTGTTCCTACTTACTTAACACACTTTATGATCTTTGAAGGACCGCATCACTGTAATATTTGTGATGACCATTTTGCTTGGTCAGATTATATGCCGTTTTTAAAGTACTAACTGCAGATAGAGTTTTCTGGAAGTGTTTTACACTTCCACAGTCCACTTTCTTCAGACATGTTGTAACGAATGCTTGTTGGACAGACTGAATGAACCACAACACTGTGACACACACCTCTTGCCTGCCTCTCCTGTTCCCACCAGCCACCTTTACACTCTGGCCCTTGCTCTCTACCCCAGTCAAACATCCATCTCATCATTCCTCAGCCTCCATGTCCTGACTCCCTGGGAAGTCAGAGCCCACAGCAGTGCATGTGGGGAGCTAGCCCAGCAGTGAGGGCCTGCATGGAGGTGCTTCCTTGGCAGTTCAGATCCAGGCAGGTGGCCTAATTTGCCCCAGGCTGCTCTGCCAAACACCCTGATCTTGTGCAGCTCTGCTGCTGCACATTGTACCATCATTTCTACACAAGTATAGTAATAATAATAGGCCTATCTTGTCTCATATATTCTGGAAGGAGTAGGGGCATAATGATTAGTATCTTAGAACTATTCACCAGTGAATTTTAACTGCATCATCTAGATCATAAGTTGTTCCACATGAAGACTACAGAGACAAATGGCACCTATAGTCTAACACTTGCTTTCAGTAGGTCTAACCTACAAAGAGAAATATACTGGTAAATGGCAAGAATAAGGATACTGGACAAAACAAAACAGCACGAGGGCAACCAAGACACTGTGGTTACTGAAGTAGAACTGCTTGCTATGAAGTGAGAAAATACCAAGCAGTTGAAGGACATTATGCCACACAGACTCGAGGTATTTGATGAAAGATAAAGCTCAACTGCAGAAAAAAAGCAGACAAAAGTTCTCTGTGCTCCATTTCTCTCTCAATTCCTCACACTTGTTTTCAGACTAACAGGTAGCAGTAAAAACATCACTGCTGTTATTAAGCAGTTATTCTACTAGATGAAAGACATAACTCAAAGCTCCCTCATTTTCTATTTGTACTAGTCTTTGAAGAGAGACTTCTCTCATATGGGAACAAGCTCAAAATGCAGAATATTCACACAAAGCATCCAATTTTGCCAGTGTACATTAATATGTGCTGTGATTGTAGCACTTCCAGCTCTTCAGGAGAAATTCTCATTGGCATGAAAGCCCTCTGTGAAAACAAAACATGGAAGTACATATTGAGCTCATCTTCACTCTCTACGCTTTCAGAGGAAATACTCAAATCCTAACAGAAATACCAGAGATCAACTGAAACAATTTAATGTTCCTAGTGCATGTGGATCAACTGTTCTCTGAAGTAATCAAAACATAACAAAATGGCTTCTAACTTACCCAAATCTGCTTTTTACACTTTACCATTAGAAATACTGGAAAATCATTCCCTGGGTCAGAGCCCTGTTTCTTACATGGATAGACTGCCAGGGAAGGAAAACTTGGCATTTTGCCAAAGGAAAAACATGACCAAGAACAGTTCAAGTAACCATTTTATGGCTGAAGTGGTCAGTGCAGAAGCTGTAGGACTAGCACACCAACCTGTCCCCAAACAGATCAGGTGAGCTGCTGTAAGAGCACCAAGAGCAGCTACTCATATATGAAATGGCTTCAAAGAGATGCAAGAACTGCAGAGAACAAAGCCAAGATTTTTGTCTGGAATTGCAAGGTGAGGCTGAAGAGGCTATGCAAGTAGTTGTACAAGATGCAATAGGGAATTGACCACAAAAACAGAGGCCAGGACTCTGCAGGGAATACAAATACAACGGTAACACGTGCAGTGGAAGAAGGCACATGTTTGACAGAGAGGGGGAGCAAAAAAGACACAAAATGCTTGGATGACTAAGTATTATTAGGCCAAGATTCCATGTCTATCTTCAAATTTTGGTCTGGTTATTTTACAAGGGGGGTAGAAAAGACAGGGAAGTATAGGGGGAGAGGTCACCTTCCTTTCTCGAAAATTGTTAAATTCCTCAAGACTCACTGTTATTGAAATAGAGCTGCTGACAACATCATGCAATTAAACTCTTGTGAGACTGATAACAGATAATGATACTCTTACACCCGAGCTCTGCCTTAAAACATAAATACAGGGTTCAGAATGGTATCTGACTAGCCATGAGCATTACATATTGAACCTGGTAATTAAGAGCATGATTCCAAAAATCTTCATATCCATTCATTTCAGTTAGTCAGTCCAAACCAAGCTGTCCTTCCCTTCTTGACATGAGTGGTGAAAAGGACATCTGAGTTCACACACAGGTGTAGTTACATCTACAGATTAAACTGTTCTGCCCAACAGTGATATATTTTCCTGTATTTAGTAGAAAAAATCACTTAAGACAAGTGCTCAGTTGTCAGTAGGCCTTTCCAATATACATGCTGGAAGACATTGCCTGCACACACACGTTCTACTCATTCATGCAGTTGTAAGAATAAAACACTCAAACAAGAACTTACCAAGGGTTTTTACAGGGACATTTTTGTTAAAAGAGTGTGTTAAAAGGAATAGGAAGTAAATCAGATGCTGTAAACTTGATGCCTGAATCGAAACAAAAACTTAATTATGAATTTAAAGTGACAGTAATAGTGCAAACAGCATTAAAAACTTGGCTGAGAATGGGATGCGAACAAAGAAAATCATTTTAGTGAGGTTTTAAAGATGCTGCATTTCATTAAAATAATCTGTAGGAACATTCAGATTTTTTTCTTCTATTCCCTCCCAATACTAAGTTCAAGATTTGCATTCAACTTTCCCATTTAGAAACAGAGCATCTTTAAAGAGATAAATCAGCATTAGCTTACTTTTCCGAAAATTCACGTTCAAAATGATGCATGCTCTATTGAAGACAGCAGAGAAAGAGAGAGGACACAAGTTAATCATCTGGTTCTCGTGTCAAAGTAAGAAAAACAGACACTGTTAGCTGAAAAGTTAGTACAAAAGTCAATATATTCTTATTCACTGACAAATACGAGGACAGTGGACTGACTATTTCAATATACATTTACAATACTTTGTCCAATTCTGAATAACGAACCACTATTTTCCACACTCTAGGCAGTATTATACTTGATCACCAAATAAAACACAAATGCTTCCAGCTGCACATGCCATAATTCAACCTTTACAGGATTAAAGTGCATTTAGAGAGATTTAGCAAGAAATCTGCAGGAAGATTAGCCATAGGAGATGAAATCCATTCAGTTCAAGGAACACTTCCTGCTGTATTAACACCCGTATTTACACTCATGAGTCAGAGACACTCAGGAAAAGCGCTTCCTAAAGCATTCAAATTGTCTTACAGAAAGGTGAAGGGCAGGCAAGATGCACCATATAGATGCCAATGAAACCTATATTGTGCTGAAGGATTTAGAATAACTGGCACAGAAAAGATTGTTAAGTACAACTCTCACTTTATTCCTGCAGAAAAGCCCAGGAAAGCAAAAGTAACACCCCACAAACTTTTCTCTGTTGTAAAACATCATGCTGGTATTTTATGGTATTTCCAGTGGACACCTTTCCCCTCAAAGCAGGCCATGCACTCAATCCTACAGCTGCAGCTGCCATTAAAAAAACAGTGAAAGCCAACCACTATTTTATTTCTTAGTCTGTGTTCCATCAACTATACCAAGCACTCTGGTGCAAGCCAAGTCTCACAAGGCCTTTGTTCAGAGACAAAACACCTCTCAACATGTGAGAAACCCCTGAACAGGTTCTTCCCCAGGACATGTCAGCCTGGAGCCCGTTCCCCTTTGGTCAGTGTCTCTGGCTCTGCACATACCCACACACCACACTGATTTGGTTGGTTACCAAATGATGGCAAGAGCTTCTGCCGGGTGCACTTTTCCTCATCAGCCTCAATTTTGCCTTGGCATCACATCACCAGGATGCTTTGAGGTGCCCTGATTCTAACACGACCACAACCAAACCACACAGACAGACTGAAAGCCTCATGCCCTTTTGAGAATCATCTCACCACACTGATACCCACAAGCAATTTTGGTTTAGAGGTAAATACCCTTAGTAAGTACAAGGAAACTGGAAGAGAGAGAGACAAGCTACAAAGGCATCACTTGTCACTAAGTCCCACCATGGGGCCAGTGAGTCTTTCATTGAGCCAGTAATAGCATACCTGCTTAGAGCAGCTAAAACTACAACGCTGCTGGTGAAAAAATTCAGCACACTAGTTTTCTCTTAGAACTAATATCCAAAATTTCTTCTATTAATTCTACTCACAAAAGCATTCCTGAAAATTTGCCACTTGCCTTTACACTTCATGAACAACATCCAAGCCATCAGCTCACTCAGCCATTTGAGTCACATCAACACATAAACCTGCATCCCATGCTTAAAACTTGAAAAAGCTTTCAACCAAGTTCCAACAAGTCCAAGTTAAAACATAACTAAAAGGTAGTTTTATTGAAAAAGAAAAAATTGTTTGCATCTGTCCATTTTGGAGGCACAAGGTTTTCTTTTGCATTTGCAGCTACTTCTTTATTAAATGTGTAACAAACCCTCCAGCTAACACTGGGTGCATCCTGAGAGCAGCACTGTTACTGTGCGACACAATAACACTAATTATTTTGTTTAGGCTAACTGGGAGAAATTAGTTCCTAAAATGCACATTTCTCATACCCTCACCTTGAAGGAGAAATTACTAATTTGAATTTCAGCATGACTGATTTGAATTACATCAGAGTGCAGTGTCCTTTGAAAGATCATTCACAGCAAACACAAATTTGATTGCATCATGTTAGTTACTGAGTTGTTCTGTGTAGAAAGTTCCTGGGACTAGAAATCCTATGGCATGAGTCACCATAACAAACAGCAATGCTATGGACTGCTTCCCCTCTAGAAATGTTTGCCAGTGCTCCTCTTCCAGCCTTTCAGCCTGCAGAACATCCACTGTTGCTCAATACTCAGATTTGTAATCAAACTTTCAGAGTATTTCTATTGGTCACTCAAGCAGATTCTTCACCACTTCTCATCACCTGTCCTAAACATTAGCAAAACTGTCTGCACAGCTACCCTGCAAACTGAAAAACAGAACTGGTCAAAAATAATAAAGATATTACTTTTAACCCAAATCAGTCTCTGACTCGTTTCTATGAGCTCTACTGGGTTATCAATGGGCTGTAGCACAACTGGGGAGATTTACACAGCCTAAACCACTGAATTTGTCACATCCAAAATTTCTGAAAATACATCACAGCAGTACAGGAGTAAAGAGACAATACACAAGGGGTGAACAAGCAGTATTTCAGAGTCAACAGACCATTAACACCAGGACAAATGCATACTGCAACGTGAGGCCCACAAAATGTCTGGAAAGTAGCAATGTCAGTAGGCCTGCAGTAAAAGAGACTTTGAAGCAAGCACTTACACTCTATGGATAAATCATATCATGTATATCTCAGGAAAGGTTATTAAACAAAAAAGAAAACTATTAAAAGGTTTTCTATGGCCCTCAAAGAGAGCCATAGAGAATGGCTCACATGCCCACACTCAGGCTGACACAAGATAATTGTCATCTCCGCGTTCCATCCTTGAAAACCACCATCCCTTAGTCATCCTTGGAAATAACACCCACCACTGAGGAGCAGAGGGGAATAAAAAAACCCAAAACCATAAAATAATGACTCTTGAACTTACCTGCTGTAGAGGGCGGAGTGGGGGATGATGGAGATGTTAAAGGGGAACTTGCCCCAGAGCCTGCTAAATAAAACAACAATCTAGTAACTACAGCTGTGACATGGCAGCTCAACAGTCAGACAAGACAGGTTGTTGGAAATAGGCCAACTTTACTGATTGAAGATCCAATCCTGCTTCCATTGAAATCTTGGGAAAGATTCCCATTCATAGGAACAGTGTCACTTGGACCCAATCTGAACAGAGCAGCTTTACGGTACAGAGCATCAGAAGATCTCCAAACACATAGGAAGTGCATTCAACAGTATTCCTCTGTGGGAAACACTTCTTTTCTACTGCTTAGGCTGTTTGATTTCAGCATCCAAATTCTGTTCCCCTTAAAAGTTGTGCCACTGCATGGATGGCACCCATCTCTCCTAAGAGATGATGTTCAGTCAGTTGCTGTACTCCACAAGTTACTCTGATATCTAACTACTCCACAACAAGCTGCTTTTGGACACATTTTAGCCAAGCAAGTCAGCTCTTTTATCTGTTCCATAGTACTAACCATACCTCCTAAGTAAATAAAGACCTGTCAAAGGCTCTGTTGTTTTGGAATTTGGCACTGAAGCAGCAATTAAACAGATAATTCTCTCATTCATCTTAACACCTTACTATGTAATACAGATCACCATAAAGAGTCTCCCTGAAGACTCCATTCTTAAATAGCCCATATAATGAATATTGTTATTCAACTCAAATATAAAACAGAATAAAGAGACTGATTGGTTTGGTTTGGGTTCTTTTTTGAGGAATGGGACACAGATGAGAGGAAACATTACTTTAAATTAAGCAGCTGAAAATCTAACATTGACAATATTTTTAAGCCCTCTATTTATCTATCACTAAATACCCAAAGCAGTTGTTATCAGGCTTTGGTAGTCCAATATTAGTATGTAAACTGATGGTAATCCTGGATCTTTTCGGACAGAAAATGACAGTAACAACAAAAGAAATGACACAGATGTGTAGAAGCAAACTTTTCTCTCTGTAGTTACCTGAGTTATTTGAGTTGCTGTATTTTGCTGAGTGTTCCTCCCCACTTTCATAGGCAGAACGTTTTGACTTCTTTGAAAGGAAGCAGAGAAAACAGAAGATGGGAATGAATAATCACTTTCTGTTAAAAGGATTGAACTGACAGATTTCTAACAGCCATCTGCTGTATCACACAAAGTTTATCAGTAGTGCAGACAAACACAGATAGGTTTACCTGTGGCTAAACCTATCCATGCTAAACATGCAAAAAATATACACATATTTTTCTGTGTGAGAAACCCATTTAAAGATTTCTTACTTTGCGTGCTAAGATCTTCCTTTTCTTTTTTTCTTCTTCAGAGCCATGATGAGATTGAGCTCTTGTCAGCCTTCTGTGCTGGTGAATCTTCAAAATGAAGGAAAAAACAGAAAAAGAACCATGTTAAGATCTTAAATGTTTTCAAACAACACATTTGGGGTACAAGAAAATATGCTGTAGTCAGTTTGTTTAGATTTATTTTTTCATTTTTTAGCTTTTATCTTTACTGTTGCTGGTAAAGGATGGAGGCTCATACTGCAGTTAAAATTATCCTTTAACTTGGGAGCCACTGCCTGTGAAGCTGCATCACTTAAAACAGTGAAATGCCACACAGTCAACAGCTGTTCTACAAGTCCTCATACTGCAATTTTGGGAAAGCAAATCTGTTGATGAAAGCCTATATTACTCAAAATCAATTTTGAGTAAAAACTCATTTTCTGTACGTAAAAATGATAAGAGGAAACGAAATATCTGTAGGAAATAAAGAAATGCAGACTTTACCAATTTCTGTTCTTCTGTTAATCGCTTTTCTATGCATTCCTTGGAGATTTTCAACGCCTCTTTTAGCTTGGTAGGAATCTAATACAGAATGGGGAACAAAAACATGGCACAAAATGTGATAAAGGAAAACAAAACTTGACTGCTCACACCTCACCACTCATCACATTGCTCATCTAAAGCCCCAAGTTCTGGCACCATTCCTTTAGTGAATAGAAAATAAGACTCTAGATGCATGTTTTTCCACTCAGAAATAACAGCAGGGACAAAGAAACTCTAAAGGCTGGGACAGGTGACTATTTTGATACTCCAGTCACATCCCCAAACTGCCATGAGGCTGACAAGACACATGGCACATGTCTTCCAGGAGAAGTGCCCTGGGGCAGCTCCCCAGTGGGACCAGATGTGGCTCCCAAAATGCCCCAGCACTGGGGTTGGCAGCAAAGTGCTGATGGTCTCACGCAGCAAAATCAGCTTCACAAGGTGCTTCCTCTCACTGCAAGGGACCCACATTACTTGGCAGCCTCTGCTCAGATAGAGCATCATCATTAGCTACACAAATGGGCTCCAGGACAGCAACTGCACTTGAACACTCGTGGGTCACATCATGGCCCCTTTCTAAGGATACAATTCAGCACAGGAATCCAAATACTGCTGGAAAGAACAATAAAGGCAAATAAAGCCAGTTCTCCTCTACCTTCTCTGTCAATTAATGCATAGATACTCACAGCCTGGCACTTCCATAAACATCAGCAAATCAATGTTCAACTTTACCTTAAACTGTGGTTTCTCAGAGTTTGTTAGCAGGACGTCACTGAATAATCTGTGAGTGGATAAAAACAGAGGAATATTATTTCCAAGAGATAGGGAAAACCACAGCAAAAATACTACTAGTACTGTTCACTTAAACCCCTCTTTCTTCCTTTCCTTTTCTGTCCTTATCCCTAGGCCACAGTTTAGTTTTTTCCACAGGCTTTTATGTACTGCTTTTTATTTTCCAAGCACCGCTGTAATATTAGCAGCATCCCACACTCAGAATGTAGTCACTACTGATGGCAGAGAAAGCAAGTTTATCTCAGATATTTTGAAGGTTGCTATAACAGGTACAATTATCTAAGGCAGAGAAGAACAACTTTTCCTTAAAAGCATATGGATTCTTTAATTACAAAAGATTTCCAGGGGTTTTATTTTAAATTTCACCTAAGCAAAATCATTGTTCTTGTTAGGAAAATTCTCTTAGCACTATTGTTTTAGTATGAACAAGAAACATGTGAAAGGTCAATGAGTGAACTTAACATTTGAAAATATCTGCATTCTTGCCTGTACTCTGCAAAAGGCAACTAAAGCAAATAATCTAATATTTTTGTTCTCCCCTCTATGGTGTCAGGAGTAATGCTTAATCCTTTTCCATCCAAAACAAAGACACTAGAGGGCAATGGTAGTCTGAAAATAAACTGGTTAGTCTATTTCAATATACTTTGTCCTGGAGAACATACTAGAAAACTGTCCCAGAGAGATCTCAAACCCAGCTCCAAGATAAATATTTCTGAGATCTTTTGTTGCTGTTCACTATGGAAAATTATCATAGACTTATACTAGGAAAAACAAATTCAACTCTAGAATCAAGTTAATTAAGGAGAGTATTCCATGAAAAATTCAGAAATAAAGCAGACTTGAAAATACTTTCAAAAAGCCATGACAATTCATCCTTGTTTACAGGGCTTTCTGATCCTTTCTGATTACATGTTCTTATGAAAATAAGAGAAGTCATAATTTGTATGGCTATAATAAATAGATATTTAAATTACATTAATTGCTTTAAATTACATTCATGCCATTGCACATCTACATAGAACGTTTTTGTGAGGAGTATTGGTATGAAGGAGATGTAGTATAATATCTTAAATATCAGATGCAGCTGGGCATGGATTGTTTGTTCAATTTCTTTTAAGACTTGTATATTCCTGTATTCACAGAGTTTTCTTACAGTATTTTTCCCCTGTTTACAGTCTCCTCTCCACCTTCCACCTCCTTCAAAAGCAGAAGAAGGGAGGAGGAGAAGGAATTGAAGGATGCAGTGACTCCCAACCAGGAAATTTGAACCTGAGAGCATATTCTAAATGCACTGCAATCTGTGTGTTGTGAGATCAGACCCAGATTTAGGTATGGAAAATCTGTCATTTATTAGGTCCTGACTCTGGCACCTCACATAAGGAAAAATAAAAGAACTTCCCACCAGAACTGTGGTTCTGTGGCTTGGCACGCTGGTGACGTATCACAGCACAGGGACAGCAATTTCCCTGGAAATGCTGTGTCTCAACTGCAGGCAGTTGTGATCTCCACTCACTCATATGCTGACAGTGCTCCCTTCCTGCATCCTGGCCTCTCCCCATGCCCCTCCCTGCCCTCACCCCTTCACTGCATCCTGGGAGGACAGCCTGTTAAGGAAATTTAGTCTGTCTATGCTTCAGAGAATCCCAAAGCCAACCCTGCAAGAAACCAAACAGAAGTTCCACGTAGCATTTCATACTCAGAGCAAGTCTAAATGTCACTGCTGAGCAAAGCAAGAGATCTATTTCACCAGTCATAAGTAAACTGATAGCAAAATCTACTGAAGTAGATCTGAAGGAGACATGCAAAAAGACTTATTCTAAATCTTTTAAATCAATCTGTACATGATCTTAGGCATACTTGCATTACTTTAATAGCTGGATTAATTTAAATCATGCTAACTAAAGTGCATTCATTACAGCTCCAACACACCAAGAGACAAAAAATGTTAAAAGCACATTCATCATGTTCACAAGGGATGGGTTCTACAAAGCCTATCAATTTTAAAGCTTCATTTGGGACACATCCCTCAGAACAAGGAGCAAACCTTTCTAAAAAGAAACAAGAGCAAAAAGGCTCTTCCTCCTGAAATAATTAAAAACATTGCTATGAGTATAAAACAAGTAGAACAGGACTTACGGCATCTGTAAGAGCCGTGAGACAGTTGGCATGCCATTCTTCATAGCTTCACAGGTCAGAATGGATTCCAACACTGACACTACCAAAGAAAGAATAAGAATGAACACATTTTTGCACGGCAGGACAGCAAATGATTTAGAATGAACGTCTGTGTGATGTTACCCTAAGTATTGCATCAACCAAGCAGTGATGAAGCTCTGTGGCATGTGTTTTTTATTATAGCATTACTATTACACACACAAACTTTTCAAGAATGTTAGACATAAGGCAAGGAATCCAGGCATCTCATTACTTACTAAACACTGCTTTATCACTCAGCTAAAAAAAAAAAAAAGGTTTTACTTATACACTACATACATTTCATGAAGAACACATTTTCACTTTGACCGAATTATTCTTTCTGGTCATATGCTGCAAAGATCTCAGGTTGATATTTCACAGCACTTCAGCTTGGGTAGAAGTTAAGAGTGCACCTAGGAAGTTGTGACTGAGATATTCTCCATTGCATACTAACCAACAAACACTGAGGGTGCAGGGGGGAAGCTCTCTACTGGAATCGTGTCTGGGGGTCTTCCGTATGTCATTTCATACAGTAAGTGTCCAAAGCAATGTACATCAACACCTTCTAAAGTCTGTTGAGGAACAAAAAAAATACAGCCACAACTCGTTAGTTTTTCACAACTGGTTAACCCATTGCAGAAAAACAGTGATTTTGCACGTGAAGATAGAAAAGAGGAACCACTAAGACAGTTCTTAACCACAACCACTTCCCTGCATAACTGTTGCTCAAATGAAATCTTCATGCCTCAAGCTAAAGCAGACACCACTGTCTTCCTGCATGTGATGATAAAAATGGGATAGCAGTATAGTCAAGTTCTGTAAAAATGTGTGAAGTTGTAAGGTCTTTTCCTACAGCAGTTTAGAAAGCCACACATTGACTGAAATCCCAACCAAGCCCATTTTCTGAGCTAAGTCAAACAGCAAAGAATGAGGTTCATAATAGGACCTGCTGCCACTTTACAGAGAGGTAGATAAAAAGACAGAAAAAAATGCATATCAAACAAACCTAGGAGAGCCTCCCTTGCTCCTCCTTAGGTTTGTGCAGGCTGTACATACATTCTGAGCTCCCACACAGCATATTTCCAAGATTTCTGAATTGCGTTTAAACAGGAAGGGCTCCTCTGACTGGAAGATGCTCAGAGCTTTGATGGCACTAACAGATTTGGGCTAACCATGAACTTTTGATCGTTTCTTTGACAACACAGCAGAACTTGTTTAGCAAGGTCAGCAAGCAGCTATCTCGTGATGCTGTATGGAATTTATTACAATGAGAGCCTAAAGGCAGGGCAAGATGCTGCTGGATTGCTGCAACAGGGCAAATTTGTTTTCATACTTTTGCAGGAAGATAATATTTTGCTTTTCAAGCCCTCAGTTAACAGACACCCTTCAAACAAATAAAAACCAGCTTTGAATAGCTAGACATCTCACCAATTTTCACAGTATTCACCAAAGACAAGGCTGATTAATACTCCCACCTAAGCACAAGTAATAAGCTGTGATCACTGGACAGACATACAAGTGAAAAAGTGTGGTAGACAATAAGCACATTCCTATGAAATATAAGACCAGGGTGGAAAGAGATCTTAAAACAACTGTACTTTACCTCTATTTGTGCCAGCACTGTTATCACAAAAATACTCACCTACATTCCCCTTTTACCTGCTTACCTTTGGCCTCAGCCTCACTCCAGTGTGCTGCAACAAAACTGCTGTGCAGCCAAACAGTGATTTGGAGGAAGCAGAAAAGGAATTTGATGGAGAAAAGTTCAAATTAAAAACAGGGGCTTGAGAGAGGTTTTTTTCATTCTAGTCAGTTCTCCACAGAGGTTCAGGATAAAGAGATGCATAAGACTCAGTTGAAGTAATTGTCTGAATCTTACATTAATTTTCCGAAACTGTGAAAAGTATGATCGATAAAATGATGGAAGTCCCAACAAGGAATTTTCTAGATCCAGTAACTTGCAGGTATCCCCATCCAACATCACATTGGCAGAGTGAAGATGGCCGTAAGGAAATCCTTTCTCATGCAAGAATTTTAATACCTGAAAAAAATCCAATGCAGAAGCACTGTCACAAGACGCTCTGATGATCTCAAGATCATAAGATCATCAGCTTAAATGCTCCAGTGCTGCAGCAGATACATAATAAATGAGGCCCCCATTTGGAATGCTTGCTCAACTTGATCTTCTACATCATCTTTGCCCGAATATTCATTCCCATTTCACTGGTAACACTTTTCACAAAACAAACATTTGATGCTGATCCTCAAAGCAGCAACCTCCCAAAAGAGATCTGGAAACCAAAATTCACAATACTACTGAATATAATAGTTTGAATAAAAAAAATTTTAAAAACACATGAATGACCATGAATTTATGGCACATGTTCTGCTGTCTATTAATTACTTCTTTTCCTTTTTACACAAGGAAAAAACTTAAACTCCACATGCACCAATTGCCTTTTTTTTTTTTTGGTCATAAATGGTCTCACACACACATATCTAAATTCAACTCTCAGCAGCTAATCTCAATTCACATTTACCTTTGAAGTCTGCTGCTGAAATAAAGCTTCTGTGCTCAAAAGTTTGTCTACCTTTCTAGCTAAACCAGTTGGCCTCAAAAAAAAAAAATCATAAAGGCAGGTAAATAAAGCAAAGAGAAAAGTACCTCTAATATTTGCCTTCCATATGTTTTTATTTGCTGAAGCTCAAGACCTTGAATTTTTTTAGGATTGCAATACTTCTTCAGGAATGGGTCTTTTGGCTTTGCCTTTAAAAAAAATACACATATCGAATATCATGCTGAGAAAAGTCAGTATTTGTCTTTGTTTGCTCAGCAATAGATGGCAAACACTTTTATAAAAGACATATTATGGTCATTCCATATCCATGTGGGCGGTAGACATTACCTTATAAATAAGGTCCTTTAGTGTCCCTTTTTCACTGAATGGTCTAATAACCAGTGCTGAAGATTCATTGGCAGTGGCAAAAGTGATTTTGTAAATATAGGGATGCTATCAAAAGAAGAAAAACCGTAGGCAAATTTTAGATGACTGGTTCTGTAATTCATTTGTGTTCAATTCACAAGTAAGAAAGGATCTGCCTGAATTGTATATTTAATGCAATAAATTGGATTCTGTCAATGACATTGAATAACCCATGCAAATAAAACTTCACTAAGACATTATTCAATTAGCACATAAATTAAAAAAAGAAAATCCACTATCTCTTTTTTAACAAAACAGACTGGCAGTTTAGACAAATGAAAAATACTGCACTTATTCATGAGCAGCTTTACTGCATGTTTAAGTCATGATAAGCTAATAAATTCATTCCCAGTTTTATATAACTATGGTACATAAGGAAATTCAGCATTAATAGCTGTCATAACAGTTTTATGTCTTCAGAAATTATTATAACAACTTTGCAAAACCAAATGAGAGAGCACAGTTGGAAATAAATTACAGACACAACAAAAACACCAACTGCAATTGCTAGTCAGGAGAAGACCCCTTGTTCATGTCTTATTTTAATACAAGTTTCAGTCTGGCTGGAGTGTTGAGCAGCCTGGTTTTCAGCCTCTCCTGTTATGGGCAACTGCTGAGCTCCAGGACTGCACAGAGATTTACCAGTTTAAATACTATCATTTTCAGCCAGTCTCTCACACACTTAACATCTTCAACTCCTTTTGGAGTCAAATGCCAGTTTTTCAGGCAGAGATGGCTACTGGATTTATAGCGTGGCATTGCACAGGAGCATAAATTGTACAGCTTCCATTGTACCTCTACTTAGATACTCCTTTTTTTAAGTTCAAAGAACTGAAAAAACATAACAGTCCTTCCACTGCCTCATCCACTGCTGCCTGAGAATATCCCCAGCTCATGGGCTAGCAATTACACCTAGGTAGCACTATCCTAACAGCCTGAAAGTGTTGAGGAGCTGAAATAAAAGCTCATGACCTCACAGTACTGCACACGAAGAAAAAAAATTAAATTAACCACAACACTGAATCTCCTGTAGTAATCCTGCAGGATTGTTATTTGTGCTGAGAACATGTTGCTTCACATTATATGGGAAATGTAATTAAAAGGTTTGCAAACCTTTAAATGAAAGCAACTCTAAAATTACAAACTGTCTACTAGGCTACATGTGCTTTTGCAAGATGAATCCTTGACATGCACTTCTCTGCACAATTTAAAAGTCTTCAAGTATTACTCACAGAACAGGAAGAAAGAAGTTTCACAGCATACTGTAAGTCTTTGTCAGACAAGTACTTATCAGGGCCAAGATCAGCCTGGAAATAAATAGGAAAAGAATGGTATCATAAAAGATGTTGTATTCTATAAAGAAAATGTGATCTATATTCTACTCTGGCAAATGAAGACAGATGTTTGAAGGTATATTTTGAAGAGCAAGCAAGGAAATTATACATACAGAATGAAACCTGAAGAGGCTGAACAAGGTCATGGTTTCACAAACAAAATGTGTGACCATAAATATTACTGCCTGTTTCCTCCCCCAGATCTGACATTCTTTACTACCACTGAATGAACTGCCAACTCCAAACTGAGGGACTGTGTGCATTGTGAACTGATAAGGCACCTTCTTCCTCTGCACCAAGAAAAACTCCCCTCCTATTGCAGGCTTTAGTGATCTCTGCTCTCCAGTGAAGTCTCACAAACAGCACTGCTCATACAATTAAGGCAGCAGCACATTTTAGGGCAGGAGCAAAAGCAAGTGTTGTCAAAGGACCAGTTCATTTCTCTCTTGCCTAATAGTTTGTCAGTACAACTAAAGATCTGAATAAGAAATCTCACCACTTTAGAAAGGATCATTTTATTATTTTCAGTGAGCAGATTTATATATGGTCAACAGCCACATCATTACAACTAAAGAATCCTGAGGTGCAGGACTGGGAACAAATGGCCATGCACAGAAACTTGCAAACTGGATTTGCCACCAGAGGAAGGAAACACAAGAAGTTCCCACACCACACATCCACCTAAGGGCTTTCAAGGCTCTCCCAAAGCCTGAGCTCTTCAGCCAGCTCTCTGACACTCTCACATGGTAGTCAAAATAAAATCTTGAGTGAAATTGAGAAAGACTTGAGTATGAGATGAAGGCATATATACCCAGCTTAACACTAGCCGTTCCTTTGGTTGATTCTTTATCTTCATTAAGAAATATTTCTTACGTATTCGCCAACCTATAAAAAAAAAAATCAGCAGCAGCTTTAATTAAACACAACAGGACAAGGTCTGTAAGCAAAGACTTAAGATTGGAATCTTAGGACAACTCATACAGTTAGGAAAAAAATCAGACAAGCTTTCATGCACACATGCTCTTCTTACCTATATCTTTTAATGGTTCTACCACTTCCCACTTTGGCTCTGATCGGAAGAACATTGAAACGTGCTGTAAGGCAATTTCTGGAAAGAAAAATGAGAAGAAGGGAGAAAGAAAGTAGAAAAGAAATTAAAATGTTTTAAAGAGACTATATCATGTAATTATCCACATATTAGGTAAGGTTCAAAGCCAGAAGGAAGCCTGCAGGAATTCAGACTAAAAGTCAGCAAAATCACTTCAAAAGGAAATCAGATAAAAACACAGTTAGAGGGCATTTGCATTTTTAACTTGATAACTCAAATCCAGAGAGAAAACAGAGAAAGCATTGCTTGGAAAACTTAGCTTAACAGTCTGCTTTCTATCTCTACTAGATCTACATTTCCGAGTCTAAATCCAATGCTCACAGCTTAGATTTCCCACAATAGGAGTATACAACACTAGATCATGAAATGTTTCTGCTATACCTGTAAAAGTACTCACTTTTATCTCTTTAATGTGCATCTATATTGCCATTACTACATGTAAATTATGGAAACTAAACAGTTCTCTTTCACCATGTGTTATTCTGCCCTTTTCTGTGCAGACGAAGGTATTTGGCCAACTATCATGAACCTACATACATTTGGGGGGCTGGAGGGAGGACACCTGTCTTGTTAGTGAATTCTCCCACAGCTAGGAACACAACTGGTTTATTCATGAAGTGACACAAGGGGAAATCTCAACGAGAAGTGGTGACAGCAGGGGGAGAAAGGGAATCATGCTAACAAGGAATTTTCTCTAACATGGCTTATCTTGGCATAGAAAAACAGCAAAAAGGTAAGGATGTGTTGATCTCTCCCTCTATACTGTATATACACTGTATCTTCTCTATATATAAATATGCTAGAAAAAAAAGTGCAATAAATATCATCTCACTGCTCCAGTATTTAAAAAAATCACAAACTGATGTTCTCTAAAGACCATAGGCAATGATGTCTGTGCTACCAAGTTCCCAGCAACTGGCAGGAAACACAATCTTGATGAAAGTTCTCAGAACTAACACAGAAGTCACAGTGTCTCCTAGAGGATTTAAATTGCTTGCTCAGCATTAGCCAGACAAACTGCATCCATAAAGAGTTACTAAGAATTTACAACTCCTGCACAGCTTATCATAAACATCCGGTAAATGTTCTTTCACTTTGAAGCTGAAGACACCAGAATGTTACATAAAGGGAGAGAAAAAAGACAAGTTAAAAGGAAGTAGTGAGTTCCTGCTTCAGGAGTCTCTGCTTTTATGAAAACAAGCTTTGCATTTTGCAAAGAGTTGGTTTGCCCGTGAACTAAATCTGTGGAGTGGGTTTGATCACTAAGAGGAAGTTTTTTCAGTCTGTAAGACAAATATTTAATGGTTTCCAATAGCCGAAGTAATACAAATTCAAAGAAGAAACATTTAGTAGTGAAGAAACTGATCACTGGGCTACCATTTTAAAGAGATACAGTGACTGTCCAGTATTTGTGGGAAGAAAGTGTCTAACTTATTCAAGCCTTGTAAAAGTACTAAACCTAGCTCAAACAATTATTTCTGGAAGTCTCACATCCCAAAGCAACAGTAGGAGCTGGACAAGATGACCACAACTGTTCCTGTTGAAAGACTCAGTGTTGAGAAGACTGGCTGTTTTAGCAGAACATGGAGTGGACAAACTTAACTCCACCTTACACTCTGACAGACAAATGACTTCCCAAGAGCAACCCTTTCCATTTATCACCAACTCTCCCTCCCCCAAGTTCTGCTTATCTTGACCCTCTGTGAAATAATTCAAATATTTAGACTTGACAATCTCAGCATGATCCATGCACAGAGCTGGAGAAGCCTTATCATAAATAATCACATGCACAATATCACAATTTTGAAGGTTGTTCCCCACATGTTTTAGTGCAGATCCTTGCCAGCATTCATGGAAGATACACACACATCCTAAAGTCAAACTGTAATGCAGTTTTGTATTTCCTACTTACCAGTGTAGTTTACAGAATAGCTGTTTGGGTCCAAGAATTTCTTTACCAGTTCACAGTTAGACAGTATGTGATGGGTGGTAATTACATCGAGATAGGCCTGGAGTCCCTTCTGTCTTTCAGCGATGAATTCACGCTCCATATTTCCAATCAATTTTTTTGGAGGAAGAGGTAGACTTAGAGTTGAGATCTTAAAAAGAGAGGAAAAATTACTAGCCTTGCTCTCAAAATGCCTCAGGGATATAAACTGGCAACTCAGAAAGTAAAAGACTCACAGCAGCAAGCTAACTACTCGATAACTTGTGTATATACAAGCTTTTATATTTTTCCTAAGTACTGTTATCAGAGTCAGATGATAGCTCACATCCCACTGTGAAGAGACTAGTAAATGGAACAACACTGAAAATAAAAGGAGACAAATTTTTGCTAGTGACTCATACATTTAAGATCACTACACAAAATTTTCAGATACTAAATGGCTACAATTTTCAACCAGACCCTTCCTGTGACATACCTCTGCCACAGCACAAAAACTATTCACACCTTACCATTTTCTCTGGATGAGATTTATGCTTTCTCATTTCATGAAGTGCAGATTAATAACTTTTCTTTGCTTCTATGACTTTGTAGGTAATTCAAAGCCCTTTCTGTCAGTACTTTAAATCTATAATTTCCAATGTGGTGCATATTTTCCATTTTCTCTTCAGAATTTGCTACTGTACATTTTTTTAAAATTCTATACATCTTTCAACCCAGAAATAGCTGCAATCTACCAGTGGACATAGAGTAGTTGTTTTATGCTGACACTAGTGATCCAAAACTTCAGAAAAAAAAATCAGAGAAATCCTTCAAAATAGGATGATGAAAAAACGTACAGAAATTCAAAGCCTTATGTAAGTCAGATCAAAGAGATCATCCTCTGTGTTTATATTCAATTACATCATGTGAATTGCCAGAATACATTTTTCATGTTGTTAACACATTGTTGTCTTTGCAGATCAAAGCACCTGCCTTGGGTAAGCTGAATCTCCACAGGAGTTATCTTTAAGAACCGTGTGTTGCAGGAATCAATTACACTAGATGCAATAACCTCATTTCTAAAGCAAATAGTTCACCAGGGAGAAGACAGGAACTTTTGGTGTTTGAACAACTTTCATTTTAACTAGTGGAAAAGGTAAAGGATTAGTTTGACAAACTGGGACAGAAGAAGCATTCCCTTTCCTTTTTACCTCATTCATTTGAACACAGGAGTTGTTCCCTACTAAGTTTAGCACTTCTACTTCACCGTTTTCTGACTGCAGATTATGGACTGAAAAAGAACTACAACTATGTCTGGATTACAGAAGATGTTTATAAAACTCATCCTATTCACTGAGAATTTTTAATGCTCTTTTACACACAAGGGAAAAAAACCATCCAGGAATAAACCCAAAAGCAACCATATACCACTCACAGTCAGTAATTCACCAAATTAGTTTTAACACCAGAGGCAAATCGAACTCTCCTTTGTCAGACCACTCCAATTCAAAACCAAGTTTCTAAACAAAAACTAAATCCTTTTCTGGTACTACTCACTTAAAAAGCATGTCAAATGATAATCACCTTTACCTTCTTGACCTGACAGCTAGCTACCATCAGAGAGACACTGACTCTAGTTCAGATATTTTCAAACCACTATTATTTGTTTAAAAACTTAGACATCTGCTATTTTTCAGCAGAAAGTAACATTCAGGCCCAGGTTTTTGTAGCAATCTGACAAAACACACAGCACAGCGAGATCGCTGTCTGTCCTAGAGGGACACCTCACTGAGGTCCTGACCTTGCCAAGACCTCACATGCTTTCAAACACCAGTAATATTTCTCTGTGGCCCCAGCTCACCACTGGAGCCAGGATGGGCTTCATCTCGGAAGAACCTGGGAATTAACATTCTTATCTTCAAACCACAGCCTGCTCAGGAATGTCTGTTCAAAAGCTGCAATAAAATGCTTCACAAAAGCCAGATATCTTGCTGTGAATTCCAGTGCTTCCAGTACTTCACTTAACAAAACAGAATAGCAGTCAATGATCTCCACACATCTCTGTCAAATAAGGGAAGAGGAAGAAATGCAGGACAGACTGGAAGGAGCTTTTCAATCCAGTACAGCTGAGAGTTCAGGGAATCTGGCTTGAAACTTTCTGATACAAATCAGGGTCACAGGTATGCATTCCCAAGCCTAGACAGTTTTGAAATTCTTGATCCTTAGTATTATTATATAGGTAGCACCAGATTAACAGCAGAAAATTTGCATTCCAACTCAACTGCAGCTGTGTTCAAACACAAACACCAAAATCTACAAAGAGGTCAAGTATGCCATGAGAACTTGAAGAACTTGGGGCTTTACATCCAAAAGAAGCTCCAGCAGTTTTTCCAGCTGCATTTTAGTTTTGAAGGAAGAAGATTGGAGTTTGGTATCTTCCTATTGGTCCTTGTTTTATACTGTTTTTTGAAGGGTTGCTTTGTGTGGAGTTTGTTTTTTTACTCCTATTTCAATATACACAAGATGAGAGCTTAAAGAGTTTAAAAACAAGTCATGGGACCTGAATACTGTGACAGAATATTGTTGCTTAGAGTTCTGGATGGAAAGAACTGAGGAGCACTGCACTGTCTTAATGAATGTGAAAACTTCAGCTCCAGCATCACAAAGAGCAATTTATAAAAAATCCAAAACAGTGGGAGAAAAAAGCAATTTTACCATGATTTTCACTAGTTACTGTCTGCCCTGGCATTTGGAACTAGGCTGGAGAAGCAGTAGTGTTTGTCAAAAGCAGAGTTGTGCATCTTTCATAAACGCTTAAAACTCTATTCCTGCCCTTCTGCTGGGCACATAATGAAGAATAACACCTTTTAGGGTGGTTCTCTGCTTGAGCCAGAAAAAGCTTCTCCAAGCAGAGACGCAACTTTGCCTTTCCAGACTGTGGGAAGCAGACTCAGGAGTTTGAAAATCAAGGTGTGAGCAGTAGTTTTCATTGAAGGAGTCAAGTGCTAAAGATCACGGCCTGCTAATTTAGCCACGCTCTCATACCCTCCCATCCAAGTTAGACCTATGTTTTGATCATTCTGTTTGATGTTTTCCAGTCATCCAAGAAGCTGATGTTTTTGTCCTAGATCTTGGTCTCCCTCTTGTTTCAAATTCCCCCTTATCCCACTCTGCAAGTTGCTGTCAGATAATTTCCTGAACCCTCCCTTTTTATCATTCTCCTCTGTCTCAGATAAAAAGGCTTTTTCTTTATCACACATAACCTATTTACCTTCACTTTCTAGACCTTCCAACTAGGCCTAACCTTGCAGTACCTGTCATTTCTGAATTTTAAGATTTAAAGGCCCATTGCTTTCTCTACTAAAGGTGCCCCATTTGAAATGTAAATGAGAAGGCATAAAGCTTTTTCATGCCTTAATACATTCTATTCCCCAGGGTTAAGAGGAGCTTGTTATAGGTGGCTGCAAAAAGTGAACTCTTTCTTCTTTTTAAAACTTTCTCAAAATTCTTTCTCTGTGATCTTTATCAAAACTTGACTACGGTTAAGACCACAATGACCCCTAGGTACTCTGATGACTGGTACCATCTCATCTCTGTGTTCCCCTGGGTGTTTATCTAATTTTAAATCTTGGATGTCTCTGGAGCAGGAGACATCTCGGTATTGCATTTATTCAGCACATCACAGACAAGGTTTCTAGGTCATGATAAAAGTTCCTACGTGCTACTGCACATTCAACAGAATAATTCAACAAGGCAACCAAGTTGCATCTGTTGAATTATGACTAATTTGTCCTCCCATCCACCTTCAGCAAAGGAATTGGTTACAGCTCACAATTCAATACCCTTACAGGGCTTTGCTCACCAAGGATCATCAAGCAGACAGTTGATTAAACTGGGGAGGTAAAGAGGAATTGGAAACAGCATTAAACTCTTGAATTCATGCAACATTTAACAGGGGAAAAAATTTCAACCTCACAAAAATCTACCCTCAAACTGCATCATTCATTTTTTATCTTGTTTGCCTAGTACCATGGAAGTACCAAGTAACGAGTTTCAACCCTGTAGATGCTCATCAGTCCTGCTTTCCCCATTTTCCAAACACACTCACATACACCCTGCTTTTTCCCACACAAACTAAAAAGAAATAATTGTCCTAAAAAGCAGAAGAAAACACACAGTGAGTCCAGTGTTTGACCAAGGAACACTCCTCAGTGACACAGAAAACCATCACATGAGAAGCAGCATCTGGTAGTGCTTTTAGACGAATATAAATAATGGGACACATAGCACTTCAATGCTGAATTTATAAGGTTGGTATGTGCCTTGGCTTTCTCCAAATCAAAGAAGGAACAAATAAAAACACATAAAACCGGAACAAGTCACAGTACTGAAGGGAAAGATTCAGTATCTGCCAATTTCCTCCATTTCTATATAAATTGATCCTGTTGATGCTAAAATTCAATTTTATAAGGGAAAATGCAGGAATGAAAAAGTACACATTCGAGTTACATTTGAAGTCACAGTTTCTCTTTACAGCTATGTGAATTTTTATTTCTTCTTCACAGCAATATATAAAAATATCACAAGCCATTTTAAATATACCCTTCTAATGACACTTTATATTTATATATCAAGGGTGAAAGTTACCTGCAAGCTGTTATTAAGTAAGTCAAAGTCACTGTATCGCCTCACAATCTGCAAAATAAAAGACAAAGTTCAGGAAACAAATTACTTTTTCCATTAGCATTTTACTCCTCAAAATCACATCAGAGAAAAGTAATTCCCATTTATAATCATCTTCTTCTTTTAACAATTCTTGTACAAAGGCATAACTGCTGGATTTATGTCACATTGCCAGAGAGCAAAGCAGTTTTTAATCACATCTCAATCAGACAGAAAATGCATTTCTAAACATTATCTCAAAGCAGTTTTAAAAATATTTGTGAGCAAAGTTGTCTGCAAACAAGACATTTTTGCCATATTAGATGCGACAACTTTTCATAGTCATCTTCATTACTACTTCTTGTTTTTGCTGCTCATCAAGGCTGTATTTTTAGCCCTAAGGAAGGCAAACTAGCATTTGAGATTTTAAAGTGATGGTTGTACCAACACATAGTACTAACGCATGAGAGGCATTTTTCCTGGAATATTCAGAATAGTAGCAGACAACACGCCTTCTGTAGCTGGCAGCAATACTGGTTTTGTGTTAGTTTTTGACCAAAAGTATTCAAGCACTTCATGTTCTCAATTCCAAATGAACATTTCTCTTTCCAGCTCAAATCTGAAAAGCTAGGAAGAGACAATTTTCAAACTCTTCCTAAAAAGGCATCCTGGTTACATGAGCCACAGCTTAAGAAATTACCTGCCAACTGTTTTCTGCTGAAACTCCTCTCTGCACACGGATTATGTATTCCTAATAAAAGGAAAAAAATATTAGAAATGAGAACAAATAAGCTGAAGAAAGTTATTAAGTACTTCTCCAAATATGACCACTAACACCGAGAAACAGAAAATTCAGATCCTGCACCTAGGGGAAGGTCCAAGATTGGTTTGCTCACACCCATCCCTAGCAATTGTCTCACTGTTTCCCAGTGTGGAAGACAAGGAGAGGTCCAGGAGCTTGCACTTGAACAGTTTAATTTAGTTACAGAGAAAGACAGTAAAAGCATACTCAGCACACATCTCTACCAACAACAAGAAACCTCTCCTTACCTCACCTCCAATATCCAACAAGTACCCCCAGGAACTACTGCCACCACCATAACAGAGCAACATGCCAGTAAATAACCACAGAAGCCCAACCTCCAATTATTTTCGTACTGGAAAGGTTACCACAAAAGCTGTGGAATGTGCTTGGGTAACTAGAACATCTCAGTTTCTCATGATGGTAACTCTTCATTTATAATGCAGGCTTAATGTTAAATATTTATATATTAACTATGCAGATATATCTAAATCTCAGTAAGGAACTTCTGAATTTTAAGAATTAATAATTCTTCCACCACAATTACATTCATAAATCACAATTTTTTTCAGTCTCTTCATTTCAAGCTCCACTGTACCTTTTGTAGATCAATGCCTGGTCATAAATACAGCAATATCATTATTGGAGATTTATTCAATTATCTCAAATATAGATATGAAGTATTTTATACACCCAATCAGGCATACTTCAATGCAGACATGACTTTGGTAAACAAAGTCATGTACAGTTTGAAAACAGCTCTAAAAACACTTTTGACATTTCAAATATCATAAACAAGGCAAGTCCTTTTCCTAGAAATCCTATATTCTCCATTTTAGATATTGTTTAATTAGTAAGGAAATAAAATTATTCTGGGCTGACTGTAGTAATTGATACTTCTTTGCCATTTGCTTACACAGAGCTCTATAAATGCTGTTCTTTTTAAAGTCTTATTACAGAGATTATCCCACAGCCACATAATTTACATTGAAAAACAGGCTTGGCTGGGGTGGCAGGACCCTGCACTGGGGCTCAAAGTGCCACTAAACCCCCCAGGTTTCCCCAGGGAATGAGCACAATCACACCACGCACCTGCAGCTACACATTCAAAGGGAGAATGAAAAATTCGGAGCCAAACACAAATTCACACCAGGGCTCACAGCATTCCCAAGCTGGAACACGCAAAAAGCTCCCTGCACTTGTGCCAAGCGACGCACGAGGACCCACCAGCCCCTGCCTGCAGTGCAGCAGCACATGATGCACCGCTGTCAGCCAGCTCAGATGACTTCATTCACCCCGGGACAAACTTTAAAACATGTTTTATGTAAAGTGCTGAATAATTTTTCCATTTCAAATGCTATTTCGCTGAATTGCTTACATCAACAGGAGTCTTACACAAAAAAGGACTGATCAGAGCATTATGCACATTTCCAGATATTAAAATTTATGCTGCGTTCCAAATTATTGTGAACAAACAATAAGGAAATAACAACAAATAAACAAAGGTATTTCCTGCACCTTGTGTTTAATGCCAAATTTGTCCATTCCATAACAATAACTCTATCTGACATGCCTACCAATTAGATAATTCAATTAACTGAGCGCTTGATTCATGAAGTATTATAAGCTCAGGTTCACAGTTAAGAATCCCCTTCATGCACTTTTAAGTATCTTCTTTCAGGCACTGTGAAGTGTCTTCTGGTTTTGGAATTTGCCTTCCAAACCCCACAAAATAATTCTCCTCTTTAAAATGAAATTAAATTAAAAACTGTTACACTGAAAAACATAAATGTACCATTGGAGCAAACAAAGAAAGTGCGGCACATCAGAGAATCCCTCCACAGAATTAAATTCTCATTTAACATCTACCAAGTAATTAGTGTAAATCAAGAATTATGACTCTTCCAGACAAGAGGCAAAGGCAACACTTACCAGTTGGTATTACCTTATGTGTTCAACCTTACCTAATCCAGATTTTATTTTCTCAAGTTTCCTTCCAAAGCCCAGTGCTGCTGAGCCAAAAATGCTATGCATTTTCTAAAATTCACTTAAAATATCCTCTATTGTCAAAGCTGTCAAATATCTGTAGCAAGTTTGAACCACCTAGCCTTGAGAAGAAACAAAACTAGTAAGCATGAAAACCAAAGTGATTTATCACATTTCTTGTCCTAGCAGCTTAGATGGAAGTGACAGAAATTCAAGATGTCACAAACCAAAACACGTAACTGTTATACTAGAATTAGAGTGTCTATTTTCAGAAAATCAGCCTTTCATGCTCACTCCATATTCTCTTCTCTCACCCATTTGAAATCATAATTATGGTATCTTCCTGCAAAACAAGAAGCCCAAATCCTCATAAATAGTAACATAAATCCACAGAGCTGATTGTAATTCAACCAGTGTAATTATGTTTGGAAACTGTATGACAGAAATCAATTAAAGGGACACCTGGAAACCCATATTCACCACTAAAGTGGCCTTTCCTGTTTTGTGAGCATTTCTGCATTTTGGGAAGTAGGAAGAGGCTACTTCACACACAGACAAAAAACTGCAACAACTGCTTATTCATCAAGTCTCAAAGGAACGTTGGCAGTTCCTCTGAAAAACCACGTCAGTGATGATTCACCACGTGCAGTCATTCATCTTTTCCAGGATTTTGAAAGAAGCAGAGTTACTGCTCAATCCCTTGTAGCATTTACTCTTCCTCCAGTGACTATCATTTTCTATTGTATCCCAAGAAAGCGCTCCCAGGCAGGCAGAACACAAACTCATTAGACAACCATCAAAGCATCTTCTTGCACACACCACTCTGGTCAACACGGCAGTCGGCTCTTCTGGAGAGCCCAGAGATAAACAACTCGGGGCTCAGAGCCCATTCTCACAGGAAGATTATATAAAAAAAGACCATATTTGGGCCACAACTAATTTTCCCTACATATACTTGAGCATTTTCCCATCCTGTTCTGCCTTGATGCCCTAAAACACTGACTGTAATGAATAACTGTCCAACCTGTAAATCTAATGAAAAAGCCTAAACGCTCTTCTGGGTTTTGGGGTATTTTTCCCCCAAAGTTGATAAGGAGATTGAAAGTCAATGAATCGCTGTAGTAGAAAAAACAGGATAAGAAATACAATCCCATTCCCAGTGTCTGTCATGGCTACACATAATCAGCAGACCATAGTATCCTGAGTTTTAGTGAGAAGTTGATACTTCCTATTGCCTCCGCGTGGCAACAAGCTTGTTGTGGGATTATAATTAGCACCACTGATATATGCTTCCCAGAGGACCAGAGAAGAGCTTTCAACTCTTCAAGCCTAAATGCACAAAAGCCTTTATTACTCTGCCAAATTCTGTTTTGGTTAGGGAAAAAAAATCTGAATTACAACAATCTTCTTCTGACACTGCCTGATAGTGGGACTGAGACTGTGCCCATAGGAAACACATAAAGCATAGGGAAAACAGAGAGGCACGGTCAGGATCATTTCTGTTTAGCTGCATCATCCAACCTAAGAAAACAGAACGGAAAAGGCTTCAGAAAGGGCTAGTAATTACCAGAGTTCACTCCTGCCAACAATTTTAGGAATCAACAACCAGGCTCGGTGAGGTCTAGGTTAGCTACACTCATGCAGAAACTCCCATGGCATCTTTCACTCCTACATGAATAACTCAGAATCTTTCCTATGACTCAGTTTACCAAATAACTTCAAAGGAGCCCTAACAGCTGCTGGTTGGCAAAGAAAGGTCTCAGCTTTCACAGGAGAGACAACAGAGAGACAACAGAGAGACAACAGAGAGAGAACCTCCCGCTACTGATTTTGCCTGCTACTGATTTTGCCTGCAGGCAGCAAGGTCACTGCCAGCAGCTACACAGGAGACACAAGACAGGCCACACAACCATTCCCAACACAACCTCCATGGATCCCTCCAGACCCCCCACATAGGTAAGGTTTGTACATCTGCTCCTCTTCGTATCAGTACTGCCAACCAGCTCCTGACACAACCTTGATATTCCAGTAGCAGTTCAAAATACATTTTTAAAGATGCCAAGGAAAGCAGTTTTACCTATGGGATCATTTCCTGGCTGCTCCAATTAGTCAAAAAAGAGGAAACTGGTGCCAGGAGGAGGAGGTTTGGAGCAGGGAAAGCTGTATGACCCCAGTTGCACACTGTCATTTTCTAAAATCTTCTTGCTATCACTACAGAGTTCTGGATAGAGTTTCTGAAAAGGAGTATTCTCCAAAAATCCACATGGATCAGTGATGACCACATTGCATTTCTCCAATCCTTTGCCAGTAACAGTTTCACAATCACTGAGTGGGATTACCATTATCCTGAACTTAGCCATTTTCATGCAGAGCCAACATTTAGGTGTTTTTTTCCCCCAAATTCACCAAGATTAGCCCCTGGTATTCCAGCACTTATTAAAACACTAGCATCAGCAGCTCAGTGCTGCTCAGTAAAATTTTGTTAACATTCCTATGTGCAAATCATACAGCAAAGTATGTTCAAATGTTTAACAACTGCTGTTTACCACCATTCCTAGTTTTTGAAACAGGAAGCAAACAGGAAAGAAGGCTTTTGTAGAGACAAAATAGGAAAGAACTAATGGTGAATTTAGAGATTCTTAAAATAAAATGTAGAGTGTCACCAATATTGGGAAATACATTCTGTTTTGCCAAGAAACTAGTCTCTAAATTTCCAGCTCGGGACAGTCAGCCTGTTTTTCCACTGATTTCTGCTGTACGTCTGTTTAATCCAACAGGCTTGAAAAGCCAACCATTATAAAGATCCAGGTCACCTTCAGGTCACATCAACTAAAAGTTTGGAAGGGCTTTATTTTATAAGCATTAAAGAGAGGAAAGCCTAATTAAGCATGAATACAATCCCTGCCTAAGTAGGCTGGATTGGAACAATTTCTAGTAAGAAGCTCTTTTAAATGTTTATTTAG